CGTCTCAAAAAAAATAATAATTAGATAGGCGTAGTGCATAAGACAATGTCATGTGACACCTGCGCCACAACTTAATACCACTTTGAGTCTGGACAGACGACGTAGGTCTCTGTGCCTCAGTTTTCCCACCCGTCAGATAGGAATCATATGAGGATTTACTCCTAAGATGATGCTCAAGGCTAAATAATGTTACCCACGAACGTGCCTAGACTGGCACCTCCTGCATTTTAAATACACTTCCCTTTTGGCTGTTGTTGTTACTGTTATTATTTTACTAACTGGAGTGATTTCTAGCCTGCAGAAAAAGGATCCAAAGTTTATGAACAAGACCATTATTCCTTACCAACTGATTAATAACCCTAATTTTTCTTTTTCTTTTCTTTTTTTCTTTTTTTTTTGGTTTGAGAGAAAGAGGTAGAAAGGGAAATTTCCATATACATATATATATATATAAAATTGCATTTTAGGATTCGGGGTACATATGAAGAACATGCAAAATTGTGGCATAGGTACATACGTGGCAATGTGGTTTGCTGCCTTCCTCCCCATCACCTATATCTGACATTTCTCCCCATGTTCTCTCTCCCCAACTCCCCACCCCCTGCAGTCCCTCCCCTAGTTCCCCTGACAGACCCCAGAGTGTGATGCTCTCCTCCCTGTGCCCATGTGTTCATTGTTCAACACTCCTCTATGAGAACATGAGGTATTTGATTTTCTGTTCTTGTGTCAATTTGCTGAGAATGATGGTTTCCAGCTTCATTCATGTCCCTACAAAGGACACAAACTCATCGTTTTTTTATGGCTGCATAGTATTCCATGGTGTGTATGTGCCACATTTTCCCCGTCCAGTCTATGATTGATGGGCATTTGGGTTGGTTCCAAGTCTTTGCTATTGTAAACAGTGCTGCAATGAACATTCGTGTGCATGTGTCCTTAAAATAGAAGGATTTATAATCCTTTGGATATACACCCAGTAATGGGATTGCTGGGTCAAATGGAATTTCTATTTCTAGGTCCTGGAGGAATCGCCTCACTGTCTTCCACAATGGTTGAATTAATTTACACTCCCACCAATAGTGTAAAACTGTTCCTATTTCTCCACATCCTCTCCAGCATCTGTTGTCTCCAGGTTTTTTAATGATTGCCTTTCTAACTGGCGTGAGATGGTATCTCAATGCGGTTTTGATTTGCATTTCTCTAATGACCAGTGATGATGAGGATTTTTTCATATGTTTGTTGGCCTCATGTATATCTTCTTTTCTAAAGTGTCTGTTCATACCCTTTGCTCACTTTTGAAGGGGCTTGTTTGTTTTTTTCTTGTAAATCTGTTTTAGCTCTTTGTAAATTCTGGATATCAGCCCTTTGTCAGATGGGTAAACTGCAAAAATTTTTTCCCATTCTGTTGGTTGCCAGTTCATTCTAATGATTGTTTCTTTTGTTGTGCAGAAGCTCTGGAGTTTGATGAGGTCTCATTTGTCTGTTTTGGCCTTTGTTGCCAATGCTTTTGGTGTTTTAGACATGAAGTCCTTGCCTATGACTATGTCCTGAATGGTTTTGCCTAGGTTTTCTTCTAGGGTTTTTATGGTGTTAGGTCTTATGTTTAAGTCTTTAATCCATCTGGAGTTAATTTCTGTGTCAGGTGTCAGGAAGGGATCTAGTTTCTGCTTTCTGCACAGGACTAGCCAGTTTTCTGAGCACAATTCATTAAACAGGGAATCCTTTTCCCATTGCTTATTTTTGTGAGGTTTGTCAAAGATCAGATGGTTGTAGATGCATGGCATTGGCTCTGAGGCCTCTGCTCTGTTCCATTGGTCTATATCTCTGTTTTGGTACTAGTACCATGCTGTTTGATTACTGTAGCCTTGTAGTGTAGCTTGAAGTCGGATAGTGTGATGCCTCTAGCTTTGTTCTTTTTGCCTAGATTTGACTTGGCTATGTGGGCTCTCTTTTGGTTCCATATGAAGTTTAAGGTGTTTTTTTCCAGTTCTGTGAAGAAGGTCATTGGTAGCTTGATGGGGATATCATTGAATCTATAGAATACTTTGGGCAGCATGGCCATTTTCATGATATTGATTCCTCCTAACCATGAACATGGAATGTTTCTCCATCTGTTTGTGTCCTCTCTTATTTCGTTGAGCAGTGGTTTGTAGTTCTCCTTGAAGAGATCCTTTACGTTCCTTGTTAGTTGTATTCATAGGTGTTTTATTCTCTTTGTGGCAATTGTGAATGGAAGTTTGTTCTTGATTTGGCTCTCTTTCAGTCTGTTATTGGTGTATAGGAATGCATGTGATTTTTGCACATTAATTTTGTATTCTGAGACTTTGCTGAAGTTGCTTATCAGTTTCAGGAGATTTTGGGCTGAGACGATGGGGTCTTCTAAATATACAATCATGTCATCTGCAAATAGAGACAATTTGACTTCCCCCTTTCCTAATTGAATACGCTTTATTTCTTTTTCTTGCCTGATTGCTCTGGCTGGAACTTTCAATACTATATTGAATAGGAGTGGTGAGAGAGGCCATCCTTGTTTAGTGCCAGATTTTGAAGGGAATGCTTCCAGTTTTTGCCCATTCAGTATGATATTGGCTGTGGGTTTGTCATAAATAGCTTTTATTATTTTGAGATATGTTCTATCAATACCTAGTTTTTTGAGAGTTTTGCCTTCTCTGCATCTATGGAGATAATCATGTGGTTTTTGTCTTTGCATCTGTTTAGGTGGTGAATTATGTTTATATACTTGTGTATGTTGAACGAGCCTTGCCTTCCAGGATGAATTTTTTTTTTTTTTTTTTTTTGAAACAGAGTCTCACTCCCCCTCCCAGGCTCAAGCGATTCTCCTGCTCCGTCTCACGAGTAACTGGGATTACAGGCACCCACAACCAGGCCTGGCTAATTTTTGTATTTTTGGTAGAGATGGGGTTTCATCATGTTGGCCAGGCTGGTCTCAAACTCCTGACCTCAGGTGAACCACCCACCTCGGCCTCCCAAAGTGCTGGGATTACAGGCATTTGTGCCACCACCCCCACCCCATAACCTCAGTTTCTTTTTACCAACTTTGGTTACGGAGCTTGGCACGACTCCCAGGTTCCCATAATGCAAATTTTTCTCTCCAATTATAACTGCCAGTTTGTTTTCATTTAAGAAAAACAAAATAAGACAAACAAAAATTGAAATGCTGGTCATTTCTGCAGACAAAAAGATAAGTATGGCCGGGTTCTGTGGCTGATGCCTGCAATTCCAGCACTTTGAGAGGCTGAGGCCAGCAGATCACTTTAAGCAGGAGTTCAAGACCTGCCTGACCAACAAGGTGAATTCCCCTGTCTACTAAAAATACAACAATGAGTGAGGCGGGGCGGCATGGACCTGTAGTCCCATCTACTCAGGAGGCTGAGGCAGGAGAAACACTTAACCCAGGAGGCAGAGGTTGCAGTGAGCAGAGATCATGCCACTGCACTCCAGCCTGGGCAACAAGATCAGAACTTTATCTCAAAAAACAACAAAAAAGTAATGTGACTGTGATTTTCTGGTTATAATCACAGAGTTCATGTGGAAAAGCTAAGCAATATGAAAACATACTGTTAACGTTTAAAAAAATTACCCCACTTTGGATCAGCAAACCTTCTTTTCTCTTGAGAAAGACTAGGTCTTGCTGTTGCCCAGCTGGTGTGCAGTGGCACAATCACAGATGACTGCAGCCTTGACCTCCTGGGCTCACTCTGTGCTCCTGCCTCCCAAGGAGCTGGGACTACAGGTACACACCCCTACACCCAGCTAATTTTTTTAAATTGTTTTTTTAGAGGTGAAGTCTCGCTATGTTGCCCAGGCTGGTCTTGAACTCCTGGCCTCAAGTGATCCTCCCACATTAGCCTTCCAAAGTGCTGGGATTACAGGAATGACCTTATCTGGAGACCGGATCGTCTCCAGATAAATGCGTCATGAAGGTGAGGCCCTGATCCCATATAACTGGTGTTCTTACTAAAAGGGAAATTTGTTGCCAGTAAAAGAAAAAGAAATAATAAAATATTTATTTCTTGAGACAGTCTTGTTCTGTTACCCGGGCTGGAGCGTAGTGGTGTGATCATAGCTCAATGCAGCCTCAAACTCCTGGGTTCAAGTGATCCTCCCACCTCAGCTTCCTGAGTAGCTGGAACTACAGGTGTGTTCCACCATGCCCTGCTAATTTTCTGTATTTTATGTAGAGACGGTATCTCACTAGGTTTCCCAGGCTGGTATTGAACTTCTGGGCTCTAGAAATCCTGCCTCAGCCTCCCAAAGTGCTGGGATGATAGATGTGAGCCACTGTTCCTGCCCAAAGGTAAGTTTGCACACACAGACAGACATGCATAGAAGGACAATGGCCAGTATAAGTCAAGGGATGCCTGAGCCAGGAGAGAGGCTGGGACAGATTTTTCCCCAGAGCCTCCAGCGAGAGCCCGGCCTGCAGAGACCTGACTTTACACTTCCGGCCTCCCAACTGTTAGACAACAACTTTTTATTTTATTTATTGATTTATTGAGACAGAGTCTCTCTCTGTCGCCGAGGCTGGAGTGCAGTGGCATGATCTCAGCTCACTGCAGCCTCATTCTCCCTGGCTCAAGCAAACCTCCCACCTCAGTCTCCTGAGTAGCTTGGGAACACAGGCACATGCAACCATGCCTGGGTATTTTTTTTTTTTTTTTCTGAGATGGATTCTTGCTCTGTCCCCCAGTCTGGAGTAAAGTGGTGCAATCTCAGCTTACTGCAACCTCCACCTTCTGGGTTCAAGCAGTTCTCCTGCCTCATTCTCCTGAGTAGCTAGGATTACAGACGTGCGCCACCACACCCAGGTAATTTTTGTATTTTTAGTAGAGACAGGGTTTCACCATGTTGGCCACACTGGTCTTGAACTCCTGACCTCATGATTTGCCTACCTCAGCCTCCCAAAGTGCTGGGATTACAGGTGTGAGACACCACTCCCAGCCTTGTATTTTTTCAGTAGAGATGGGGTTTCATCCTATTGGCCTGGCTGGTCTCGAACTCCTGACCTCAAGAGATCCTCTCGTGCTCCCAAAGTACAGGGATTACAGACATGAGCCAAGGCATCTGGCCTGAGACAACAAATTTGTCTTGTTCTAAGCAACTTAGTTTGTGGCACTTTGTTACAACATCCTCAGCAAAGTTATACCCAAGGAATAATCCATTTCTTTGTTAAAGGACACAGAAGCTCATGCCCTCGGTGATTCATGAATGTGTAATTAGGTTTTGGCCTGGAACAGAGGCTCATGCCTGTAATCCCAGCACTTCGGAAGGCTGAAATGGGAGGATCACTTGAAGCCCAGAGTTAGAGGCCAGCCTGGCCAACATGGTGAGACCCCATCTCCACACACACATACAAATATTAGTTGGGCATGGTAGCATGCTCCTTAAATCCCAGCTACTCAGGAGGCTGAGGTGGGAGGACTGCTTGAGCCTGGGAGTAAGAGGCTGCTGTGAGCTATGATTGTACCACTGCACTGTAGCCTGGGCAACACAGGAAGTCCCTATCTATCTCTTCAAAAAAAAAAAAAAAAAAGGGCGGGGGTTTGATTTTATGTCTTTGTTGTTGTTACTGTTGTTTTTTGTGATGGAGTCTCATGCTCTGCCCAGGCTGGAGTGAAGTGGTTCAATCTCGGCTCACTGCAACCTCCACCTCCTGTGTTGAAGTGATTCTCCCACCTCAGCCTCCCGAGTAGCTGGGATTACAGGTGTGCACCACCACAGCTGGCTCATTTTTATATTTTTAGTAGAGATGGGGTTTCACCACGTTGGCCAGGCTGGTCTCACACTGCTGACCTCAGGAGATCACCTGCCTCGGCCTCCCAAATTGCTGGGATTACAGATGTGGGTAACTGCGCCCGCCCGGTCGATTTCATGTTTTGGCTGGGTTGGGTCTGGCAAGTATATGGTTAATAAACCAGGTCTAAATATTTGTAGGCTACCAGTGGCTCGGGCATGCACTGACAGCAATGTTGTGGACGGTGGTATTGGCTTTGAACATGGATGAAAGCAAGATCTGGTCTCCTTTTTTCATCCAGACAGTGTCGATGAGCTGACCTAGGAGATAAGAGGGCAGGTACACGAGGCCACGTGTATATCCTGGGAAAGGGGATGCCAACTGCTGGGACCCCAGTCCTCCTCCCACCACCCAGCCCACCCGGCCAGCGGCCCTTCCATGTTCGTTACAGCTTTTGAGAGATTTGCTATTCAAAGGAGGATGAATCAGGGAAAGTACAGGGCTGGGGCACAATTCTGTTAAACATGACAAGGAATATGCTTTGGTCAAGAAAACCCATGGCCAGGCACGGTGGCTCATGCCTGTAATCCCAGCACTTTAGGAGGCCAGGGGCAGAGGATTGCTTGAGCCCAAGAGTTTGAGGCCAGCCTGGGCAACATAGTGAGATCCCTCCCCAGCTCCGCCAAAAATGTAAAAGGAAGAAAAGAAAGGTATAACTCAGGCATCACCCACCTCCAGGTAGCCTTCCTGATGGCACCATACCCAGGTGGGCTCAGTTGCAGCCTCTGTTCTCTGGGCATCAGAAGCTGCCTCCCCGGGGCAGTGGTCCCGGGTCAGCTCCTGCAGGAGTCCAGGCACAGGATGATGGTGGATGGATCAGGACTGAGGGTCAGAGATGCGGAGAGGCAGACAGCTTTGGGACGAACTTGGTGAGATTAGCTGCAGGGTGACTGTCAGGGTGTAGGGGAGAATTCTGGACCAGCTGTGTCTTCAGCTCTCTCTTCCCTCCAATCCCAGGAGAGGAAATGAGGCAGAAGGACTTGCGGGCTCTGCTCACCAGCTCCATCCTCAGGAACCTGAGGACCATCAAGTTTCATGGCTGGGAGGGAGCCTTTCTGGACAGAGTCCTGGGCATCCGAGGCCAGAAGCTGGGCGCCTTGCAGACCTCCGTCCTCCTCTTCTCAGTGTCGCTGGTGTCCTTTCAAGTATCTACCTTTCTGGTGATGTCACTGTAGTCTCTATGCCAAGCAGGACTGGGGAAGAAGTGTGGGGGTCAGGAGGTGAGGTAGGTTGAGCCTCCCAGATCCTACCACCCTGTCCATCAAAACCCACACATTCTGGATCCTGCTCTCTCGGGGTTCCTGCTGTCTTTTGTGTGAACAAATTAATCACATCATTCTGGTGAAGGTGGCAGCGGCTGATGAGGTCTGCTGTTCTGAGAGTGTGAGGATTGCTTAAGCCCAGGAGCTCCAGCAGCGTAGTGAGACGACCCCCATCTCTACAAAAAGTCTTAAAAATTAGCCAGGTGTAGTGATGCTTGTTGTAGTCCCAGCTGCCTGGGAGGCTGAGGCAGGAGGATCACTTGAGCCTGGGAGGGTAGAGGCTGCAGTGAGCAGAGATCATACGACCACTCCAGCCTGGGTGAAAGAGAAAGACCCTGTCTCTAGGAAAAACAAAAAGAAAAGGAAACATGGACATGATTCCCACTCTGGCCTGAAGGACTGAGGGGAGGGGAGCTATGTGAGGAGGAGCTGGGAGGCGGCTCGGGGGTCACAATCCTGCTGTCCAGACCCTGCTGGGGCTTCCATGAGACCAACCCAAGAAAGCTTATGGATGGGCTCATGGCAGACTTGCAGCCCAGAGCCATGCTTAACCCTTGATACCAATGGGGAAACTGAGGCTCAGAGAGGGGCAACCGAGATGCTTGCACGTGGTGCCAGAGCTAGGTAGAGGCCAAGCTGGAATTCAAACCCAGGTCACCTGGCTCCAGAGTCCAGCCCTATCCAGGACACCATGTGGCCCTTGGGCCTCAGGATGTGGGAATAGTCCTGCATTGGGCCACTGATGTGATCCTGGCTCTCTGACCCTCTCTTGGAGAAGTTGACTTGGTCTCAACCTGGCCTTGGGGGCACTGGACAAGGTGGCATCTTGCCAGCTTCAAGCCCTCTCTTTCCTTCTTTCTGGCAAAGAACTGCTATTCTCAGGCCGGCATCGCCTCCCCTCCCTCCTGGGCTGCTGCCCCAGCTCAGCCTCAGCCTCAGCTAAAGTAACTGTGCCCCAGCTGCCTGGCTCCTAACTGGTTCCAGATGCTTGCCCCAGGTGGAAGGGGGCCAGGCCCCTCTGGGGCATGTTAACGCATGCATATCTGTCCGCCAGCCTGCAGCAGGCCCACGTGGGCCACACTCGGAAACCTCTGGCTCCAGCTTTCCCAAACATTCCCAGGTTTACATTCCTGGGCCGGCCCACAGCTAGGCCCACAAGCCCTTTGGGAGACGGGGGAGGCCTCCTCACCCAGTGCTTGGTGTCTGGTGTTGCCTCACCCAGCCTGGTACACTTGTAGAGGCTGAAGCTGATGATGCGGTCATTTGAGCTGAGTCAGTGTCACCCCCATTTCTGCTCTGCAGGAAGGACTAGGGGGTCCTGTGAGTGGACAGAAGGGCCCATTAGACTTAGGCCAGATTCCTCTGTCCCTCTGAGCTGTCGTTGTCCATGTCCAAATCTGGAGCTCCCTGGAGGGCATGCCTAGTGCCTGGCACAGGGCCCAGTGCATAGTAGGTGCTCAGTAAAAAACAGGGTATGAATGGGTGAGTGCATGCATCAACGGTCACCTCTGCCAACTGGTCATTTCATTTTCTGGCCAACCACCGTATTTTGCTAGGCACCCTCCTAGTCCTGGCCCAGGTCAAATTTCTTTACAGAGCACATGCTATGTGCTGGGGTTCTCTGCTGAATTTACACATGATTTTGGAGTTCCCTACACTTCGCTACAACTGCACAATTATTCAGGGAACTTCTTTCTTTCCTTATTATTTATTTGTTTTTTGAGACAGAGTCTCCCTTTGTCACCCAGGCTGGAGTGCAGTGGCATGATTTCGGCTCACTTTAACCTCCGCCTCCTGGGTTCAAACCATTCTCCTGCCCCAGCCTCCTGAATAGCTGGGATTACAGGCACGCACCACCATACCTGGCTAATTTTTATTTTGTTTTGTTTTTGTAGAGATGGGGTTTCACCATCTTACCCAGCTGGTTGCAAACTCCTGACCTCAAATGATCCACCACCTCCCAAAGTGTTGGGATTACAGGTGTGAGTCATCATGCCCAGCCTTACTTTTCATTTTTAAAATTTCTTTTAGAGACAGGGTCTTGCTCTGTCACCCAGGCTGGAGTGTAGTGACATGATCATAGTTCACTGCAGCCTCAAGCTCTGGGGTGCGAGTGATCCTCCCGCCTCAGCCTCCAGGGTAGCTGGGACTACAGGTGGTACCACCACACCTGGCTCCATTCAGGGAGCTGCTTAGTTTTTCTGCAAGTTTTGTTTTGAGTCATGTGAACCTACATAAAAGTTACTGTGGGACAGTGAACATTGACCAGTTGTTAATATTTTTCTATATTTCTCATCTATGTTTCATAAATTGGTATTATCATACATACATTTTTTTTCTGTATCATGAAGAATTAATATAGAGATGTTTCTGAAGATGTCAACTTTTTACTCTGAAATACTTCACCTCTTTCCTGTAACGGATATTTTCTGATTTAACACAATAATTACAGCATTCAGGAAACTGAACATTGAAGTAACACCTTCATTTAATGTAAAGCCCATATAAAATTTCTCAGCTTTTCCAATAACGTTCTTTCAAAACACTGTTTTGTTTTAAATCTGGGATGCAGGCCAAGATCGCACAGCGTACATAATTGCCACGTCTTTTAAATTTTCTTAATCTAGAACAGAAGTCTACAAACTTTTACTGTAAAGTGAAATGTAGAGGTTGCAGGCCTTATCACTGTTACAGCTACTCAGAATTGTCATTGTAACACAAAAGCAGCTCTAGACGACATTCACTTGAATAGGCATGGATGCGTTACAATAAAACTTTATTTACAAAATCAGGTTGTGGGCCACATTTGGCCCGAAAGCCAGCTCCTGATCTAGAACATTCTCCTTCCACACCCTACATTTCCTTAACCAATGTTTTATTTTTTATTTTTATTTTTTAACTTTTTTTTGATACAGAGTTTCTCTCTGTTACCCAGGCAGGAGTGCAGTAATGCAATCTCGACTCACTGCAATATTCACCCACTGGGTTCAAATAATTCTACGGCCTCTGCCTCCTGAGTAGCTGGGATTACAGGTATGCACTGTCACACCTGGCTAAATTTTTCATTTTTAGTAGAGATGGGGTTTCACCATGGTGGCCAGGCTTGGTCTCAAATTCTTGACCTCAAGTGATCCACCCACCTTGGGCACCCAAAGTGCTGGGATTACAGGCATGAGCCACTGTGCCCAGCAGCCCCCCAACATTTTATTATACAATTTTTCAGACCCTAATAAATGGAAGTACTTTCACAGCTGAACACTTACATACCTAGATTTTCCTGTTCACATTTTATTTAGCATAATCACATAGCTCTCCATCCATCTTAGTTTTGGATAGTTTTCAAAGTAAGTTGCAGATATCAATATGATTTCCCCTAAACATTTTATTATCATTAACCACCTTAAAAAAAAAATCCCAACTGGATGCAGTGGCTCACACTTGTAATCCCAACACTTTGGGAGGCCGAGATGGGAGAACTATTTGACTTCAGGAGTTCAAGACCAGCCTGGGCAACCTAGGGAGACCCTGTCTCTACAGAAAATGAAAAAATTAGCCACGCATGTCAGTGCCTACTTGTAGTCTCAGCTACCCGGGAGGCTGAGGTTTGGGAGAATTGCTTGAGCCCAGGAGGTTGAGGCTACAGTGAGCTCTGTTCACACCATTGCACACTCCAGGCTGGATGACAGACCAGACCCTGTCCCTGTCTCAAAAAAAAAAAAAAAAAAAAAAATCCTGCATTGACAATTTTGAAGCGTCCAGGAAGTTATTTTACAAAACATTCTCCTAATGTGGATTTGTCAGATTGTTTGCTGAAGACAAGATTCAGGTTGAACATTTTTGACAGGGATATCATTAATGTAATGACACATCTCTGGTGAACTCATTAAAAGCACCAGTTCTTGGCCAGATGTGGTGGCTCGAGCCCGTAATCCCAGCACTTTGGGAGCCTGAGGTGGGCAGAGCAACTGAGGTCAGGAGTTCGAGACTAGCCTGGCCAACATGGCGAAACCCCTGTCTCTACTAAAAATATCAAAATTAGCCAGGCATGGTGGCACACGTTTGTAATCTTAGCTACTCCAGAGGCTGAGGCAGGAGAATCACTTGAACCTGGGAGGTGGAGATTGCATTGAGCTGAGATCTTGCCACTGCTCTCCAGCCTGGGTGACAGAGTAAGACTCCATCTCAAAAAAAAAGAAAAAAAGTACTAGCTCTTGAACCTCTTCTCAGAGACTTCGTTTTTGTAGGTTTTAAGTGGGAGCCCAGAACATATTTTTAGTAAGTTTCCCCGAGCGAATCTGCTGTTCAGCCAACGTGGAAGTTAGCACATTATTTCATACAATGTTGACAGCAACCCATAATAAAATAGATGTCCTTATCCCTGTGTTTTGAATTAGAAGGCTGAGGCTCAGGTGGTTAAGGAACTAGCTGGAGATGACTCACCTCTCCGTGGTGGATCCACACTTGGAGTCCTGTGTGTTTGATGCTGACACAACCCAAGCATTGTCCTTTCTGCTAGACTGCCCCCTGCTGTCTGCAACAGTACTGCAACTAGAGTTCTTGCCTGCTGGTGCCAGGCTGGTAGACATTTTCAAGTCAGGGAGGGCCTGAGAAGATAGTTGCTATGGCCACATTTGATGGCCTAAACTGAGGCTCCAAACCCTTACTTCACCAAAGTTCCTCCAGCCCAGGAAGCTGTGGGTCTCTTGGGCGTGGGGCTTCAGGAGGCAGAGCTCATGGCTTAAAACCAGCATCTGCTTAAATGTTCCATCAGAGCCCTGATGAGATTTATTGTGTGTGTGTGTGTGTGTGTGTGCTTCCTGATCCAGCTACACTACTCCAAGGGTGAGGTTCAGAGCACGTTTGCCTTGGGCGTGGAGGAGCATCATTTTCACATCAGCACCCATCTGGTAGCTGCTAAGGCCAGTCTCACCAACTTGATGAAGCTGGAACATTCCTTCCTGCAGGTGTGTGGAGGACAGCTCAGGCCAAGGGCATGCTGGGGTGGGGGTGGGGGGCTCCTAGGACAGCCCTTGGAGAAAAAAGAAATTGTCCCAATGTCCTGATTCCTGGGAAGAAGGGCAGGCAAAGCTGTGAAATGGACAAAATTTGCTGGAGTAGATTATCAGCTGGTGTCTTTATCATCCCTCCTTCCTTTGGCATGATTTATTGAACATCTACTTGGTGCCAGGCACTGTTTCAGAAGGTGGGATGTGACCTAAAATGGAACTGACCAATCCTTCCTGTCATCAATTGTGTACTGTAGTGGGGGAGATTTACTACCCAAAATGACACAGATAGTAAGATATGGAGAAAATGTACTGAAGTGACTGAGTGAACAGGGAGTGTATTTAGATTAGGTGGCCAGGGAAGGCTCCACTGAGGAGGTGGTGCTTGAGCTAGCCTTGGATGATAAGTGCAGCCATTTGAAAATCTACGGGAAGGCCAGGCATGGTGGTTCATGCGGAGGCAGAGGCAGGAGATTCACTTGAACCAGGGAGGGGGAGGTTGCCGTGAGCCGAGATTGTGCCACTGCACTCTATCCTGGGCATGACAGCAAGACTCCATCAGAAAAAAAGAAAAAAAAAGAGCAAACTTCCTACCTCACCCCAGCAGTCCCCCTGCAGTGCCCTCAAGTGACCCTCACACTATGGTACCTACCAGTAGGGACAGCGACCCTCTCTGAGCCTTTGCACAGGCTGTTCCATCTGTCTGGAATGCTCTTCCCTGCCTCCTCCCCAAACTTGCTTCTCTGCATTTCTTTCTCCCTTGAATGTCTCTTGTGACCATCCTTGTCACATCACTTTCTGTCCTGTGACTATCTCCCTGTCAGCCTGGAAGCCCCATAAGGGCCAGGACAAGGTCTTGGTTATCTTTGTATGCAGGCACTCAGCACTGTCTTGGGAACATAATACTTGCTCACTGCATGATTGAGAAATCCCAATACCAACCTCGTGGTTCCTACAAGCTCCTCTCCACAATCTAGCCCTGGGCTGAGTGTATCATTTGTATTATTTTGCAAAGGTTGACACTTTCTTGCCTTCATTGTCTAGGAAAGTGAGGCTCAGAGAGGATGGAAAGTTGCCCAGAGCCCCACAGCTTGACCACGGAGTTGAGATGTGGCTATTCTGCTCTGTCTCCAGTTGGCCACAGTCTCTTCACCTACTCCCCTCCTTTATGTTATCCGCTCATCCTTAGGAAGCATTTGGCTTTTTGATTCCCTGACGTATGTCACCATGCAGAAAACTATAAATGATCCACAAATACTCCCTTTCTCCTCCTCTGCAAGCTTCTTTCCTTTCCCATCCCAGGCAGAAGTGTGGGTCAGGTTCCCCTGTGGCGCCATCATTCTCTTCCAGCTCAGCACCCTTCCTGGGTAGCTGGTCCTGCAGAGCACATGAGCGAGCTCATGGGACCTGTGTCCTGCACCACGTGGTGCTGTGAGATGGCCAGGAGATGGCCCTCACTGGGAGCCTCTCCAGGCCCTTCAGGAACCTCAGCCTGCAGAGTGAGTGTGTGAGGGGATGTGGGTAGTGGCGACCCAGTCACTGAAGAAATCATCCCTGGCTGGGCACAGTGGCTCATGCCTGTAATCCCAGCACTTTGGGAGGCCAAGATGGGTGGATCATCTGAAGTCAGGAATTCGAGACAAGCCTGGCCAACATGGTGAAATCCCGTCTCTACTAAACAAAAATTAGCTGGTATGGTGGTGGGCGCCTGTAATCCCAGCTACTTCAGAGGCTTAGGCGGGAGAATTGGCTGAACCCAGGAGGCAGAGTTTGCAGTGAGCTGAGATCGCGCCATTATACTTCAGCCTGAGCAACAGATTGAGACTTGGTCTCAAAAAGGAGCCATCATTGAGCACCTGCTAATCCCAGGCTTGATTCTAGGCATGAGGGATCCATCAGGAAGCAAGATGGCCCAGCTGTCACCCCTCAGGGAGACAGTCATTGAGCAACAAGACACACATAAGCAAAATAACATCCAACATGACTATTTCCACTTGTGGGAAAGACTGTGAGAGCAAGCAGGGCCTGTGTGGAGTGTGGGGCTCCTTTAGGTGGGGTGGTCTGGGAAGGCCTCTTGGAGGAGGTGACTTCCCAGCTGAGATCTCAGGGATAAGAAGCTGCTGGCTGAGGTACAGATCTGAGCAGAGGCACTTCAGGCGGAAGCCCCAGGTGGAAATGAGCTTTGCATGTGGAGCAGCATCAGGGAGGTCAGCGTGGCTGAAGGGAGGAAGTGAGGCAGGTGGGTTGGGGGACCCAGGGCACGCAGGTTCTCAGCCCACAGAGAGGAGCTAGGGCTTATCCTGAGTGCCACTGGGCAGGGAGAAAGGGCCAGGGTGGGGGAGGGGTGGCATCCCTGGGCAGTTATGGTGCCAGGGGAGGTGAATGCCAATGCGGCCCTGATGGCAGCCATGAGCCCCGGGGTCCTCGAGGAACAGGCATCCCTGGAAGGGGCTGTCATTCGTGGTCTGTGCAGCCATGTAGACTGTCAGTTGCTGTATGAAAAACCCCCTGGGCACAGAGAAGAGCCCAATCCCAGACCCACCAGGTGCAGAGACAGAGTGCAGACCCCAGCCCGGGGGCACAGCTTGCCCGGTGGCCTGATGGAATCCTCCCAGTGTCACAGTTGCCACTTGTGTGCCCTGGAAGGCAGAGGAAACGAGCAGGTCCTCAACAGGCCAAGGCAGTGTGCATGTGTGTGTATGCCTGTGTGTATGTGTGTGCATGCCTGTATGTGTGCCTGTGCATGTGCACACCTGTACGTGCACTTGTGTGCATGTGTCTGCCTTTGTATTTGTGTATGTGTGTGCATGCCTGTATGCGCATGCATGTGTGCATGCTTGTATTTGTACATACGTATGCCTGTATATGTGCATGTCTGTGCTCCTGTGTACATGCCTGTATGCACGTGTGCATGTTTGTGTGCATGTGTATGCATGCCTTATGTGAGCATGCGTGTGTGCATGCATGCATGTACGTGTGTGTGTATGTGTGCATGGGTGTGTGTATATATGCACATGCACGCATGTGTGTGTTTGTGTTTTTGTGCCACCCTTGGTGAGCCTCACAGCTTGCAGCCCCACACTGTGGTCACAGTGTTGCACTTGGTGGGTCAGCGGGTGGCAGGGAAGAGGCTTCCAGCCCTGCATGCGGTCAGCTTCCTGAGAACCAGTGACTGGGTGATGCCCTGAGAACCAGCCAGTGCCAGTGTCTCTGGGCACAGCTCCCTGCAGCCCATCTGAATAGGTGGGTGCCCTTTGTACGGAGCTCAGAGCTCACCACAGCACAAAGGACCCCCAGGTAGCCTCCTGCTGTAGGGGTCTGGGAAAGCAGGACTGTGCAGGGGCCTCAGGAGGTGGAGGTTGCAGTGAGCCGAGATTGTGCCTCTGCACTCCAGCTTGGGCTACAGAGCAAGACTCTGTCTCAAAAAAAAAAGAAGAAAATCCTGCACCAGAGTGTAAGGGAGTGCTGTGGCTGATGAGGGCTCTGACAGTGGATTCCTGGCACATGTTCTTGCTAGGTGAGGGTCTCTACGTGCAGCTAGCCATGGGCATTCTCTTACGTGATGAGCCCCTGATACATGGGTCCTCTCATTCCAGAGGCATCGGCCATCTCAGCCAGACAAGATCATCATGGAGGCCATGCTGGAGCACGTCCTCAGGGCCTCTTGTGTCTGGCAGAGCTTCTGGGGAGAAGTACAGACTGACTACGCACACTGGCTGTGGCACTCCATCCACCTGGGGCTCTGTGACCTGCCCAGGGCGAGTTTGCCCTGGGGAAAGGGGCAGCTGGAGGACCAGGGACCCATGGTGATGGGGCAGTACGGAGGGTGGTGCCCGCAGAAGGCAGGGATGTGAGTGAGGCAGCCAGACGCCAGTATGGTGGCTCTGCCATTCACCTGCTGGGTGACTGGGCAGGGCACATCTCCTCTCTGAGCTTCTGGTGTTTCATCTGAGGAATGGAAGCAGCAGCAGGTTCCAGGATGTAGGGTGATGGTGGGAGTTAAGAGAGATGTGATGCAGGAATGTGCAGCCTTGGTGCCTGGCACAGAAGTTAGCATTGCTGTTGTCATGATTGCCTCAGAAAAGAGGTGTTTGGACCCCTTTTCCTCAACCCTTTTCCCCTCCTGGCGTTGGTAGCTGGTTCATTGGTTCTTTTATCCACCCACCCATCCATTCATTCACCCATCCTTCCTTCCTCCTTCCCATCTTCCATCCATCCCCCTATTTCTGCCCTCACTCCCTCGCATCCCTCCATCCCTCCCTCATCCATCCATCTGTCATCATCCATCTACCATCCATGCATACATCCACCATCCATCCATGCATCCACCATCCATCCATCTACCATCCATCCATGCAACCCAGGGACCCACACTATTCTGTAAAGGGACAGATAGTAAATATTTTAGGCTTTATGGACCATCCAGTCTCTGTTGCAACTACCAACTCCATCACTGTCTTGTGAAAGCAGCTATGGATGATGTGTAAGTGAATGCCTATGGCTGTATTCCAGTAAAAGTGTTTGTAAGAGTTGGCAGTGAGCCAGATTCAGCGCTGAACCATCGTTTCCCACCCCTCATCTATTCCTCTGTTCATTCACAAAACATGTGTGTGTTTTACCTATGCCAGGCTGTGCTCTAGGTTCAGGGACTGGGTAGTGAAAGAGACAGCCCAGGTGCCGACCTCCTGGGTAGTGCATTCCAGTGGGGCCAGGAAGATACAGCAAACTAGAGCTGTTTGGTCTGTGGTCAGGGCGTGGTAAATGCTGTGCAGGGAGGAAGCAGGGAGAGGGGGCAGGGTGTTGGAAAAGGGGCCTCACTGGTGAGGGTGAGCCCTGCAGAGGGAAGGGGCCTGAGGCAGGACTTTGTCTTGAGGACAATGGGGCAGCCCTTATGGAGGGAGTGAGGGAGATGAGGTTGGGAAGATGAAACAGTCCACAGGCCATGCCAGAGCCCGGCTTCTCTTAAGTGCAGGGGATAATGTGTGATTTGCGTTTTTTTTTTTTTTTTTCCCCTGAGACAAAGTGTTTGGCTCTGTCACCCAGGCTGGAGTGCAGTGGTGCGATCTCAGCTCACTGCAAACTCCGCCTCCCAGGTTCAAGGAATTCTCCTTCCTTAGCCTCCTGAGTAGCTGGGGTTATAGGTGAGTCACCATGCCCAGCTAAGTTTTGTATTTTTAGTAGAGACGGGGTTTCACCATGTTGGTCAGGCTGGTCTTGAACTCCTGACCTCGTGATCCACCCACCTCGGCCTCTCAAAGTGCTGGGATTACAGGTGTGAGCCACTGCGCCTGGCCCTGATTTGCCTTTCTTAGGGTTAGCTGGAGCAGAGGCAGGTGTGGAGGCTGGGAGGTGACAGCTGCTGTGGTATTCCAGGTGCAGGGGATGGTGCAGAGAAGCAGCTCTTACCACCCCCTCCCACCCCCCACCCCTGTGCCTGCCTGACACCCAGACTCTTTCATGCTAGGCCCTCTTGGTCTCTGGGGAGTACATCCTGGGCCAGGGTGGGCTCCGTTCCCACTGCCAGCTGGGCCTCGCCCCAGCCCCAGACCACGGCCTGCACCTTAGCCTGACCCTCCGAAACCACAGCAGGCCTCATTCGCCCGACTTCTCCGGGGACCTGGAGGTGGATGGCCAGGACCAGGCTGACAGTCCCTGGGGAAGATTCCCAGACTTTCCTCCCGTTCCTCTCTGGCCAGCGTGTCCTCACTGCCTGGGCGGCCCCGCCATCTAGTGGCCATCTGAGGAACTGCAGACGAGCACCCTGGATGGGGCTAGAGCATCACTCTGGGTGCAGGGAACACCTGCTGAACCCGAGGCTAGGCCTGGCGCCAAGGTAAAGCAGCTTCTCCACCAGCCAAACACCCGGCACTTCCTATAATGGAGAGGTAGTAGCTGGGCTGCCCAAGGTTGAATCTGAGCCCAGCTGCCTCCTGGCAGCTGAGTTTCCTCCCCTGTAAAATGGTTATAATAATTGCCCTGGCCCTATCTGCAATGGGGTTAATATTGCAAAGATTACATATGTTCATAGGCATAGTTTGGTTAGAGCAGTGCCTGATGGAAAACTGCCGTTATGTAAGTATTTGCTGTCATTAGCCATTATTGGCCCCATCTCCTCCCCTGCCTGCATCCCAGCAGCCCTGGGAAGTAGGAAGGGGCAGAGTTTGCCTTCAATGCCTACTCTGCCCTGACCTGGCCAGGAGATCCCAGCAAGGAACCTCTCTGAACATGGTTCCTCATCTTGGATCAGGTATTTCATAGGGTGGTTTTTGGGGGTCTGGCTAGCAGTTCCCACCACCTACATAGCCAAGGCACGTAACATAGCAGGTGCTCTCTCGGTGTTTCCATCGGCCTCCTCTGTGTCCCTGGCTGGGTGAACTTGACCTTGTGACTTTCCTTTGCTGGGCCTCAGTCTTCCCCACTGTCAAATGGGAACATCTAACATCTCCCTTGCAGAATCCTTAGGAGGAAAACAGACATTTGTATAACATCTGCACATAGTAGGTGCTTGTGAGAAGGGAATTCCCTCCCTTCCTGGCATCTGGATCTGGATGAGGATGGCATTTGTGGGTTGATAGTTCAGCAGCTGTGGCCATTTCCAAGGAGCTTCTCCTTCAAAGGTTCTTGTTCTCTGGGACTGATGGTCACTTCCCATTTCCCAGCAAGGCTCCTGGCTGCTCCCAGATCTGTAAGCCCCATGCCCGATGGAACCAGATGCCTGGGAATGAGCCTGTGGTGGACACTCAGCAGGTGACTGGTCCTCTTGCTTCCCTGTCCCAGATTTATTTGGGACAGGTGTTCCGGTGCCTCCTCATTGGCTCCATTCTGGGGTCTGTGGAGTGATCAGAGGCTTTCTTAGCCTTCTTTATTTCTCCCCACAACCCAGTGGCCCCAGGACAGATGAGGGACAGATTGAGGGAGGTCAGGCACTCTCCCAGACAGAGGTGGGTGGGTCCCTCGCTCTTCAGTGATAGCCAGAGGGGCTGAGGCCGACTCTGTGTGGTCTGCAGACTGTCCTCTGCCCCCACCTGCCTGGCAGGATCACATTGTGGTCTGTGAAATTTCACAGGAGTCCTAGGCTATACCTTCTTACCAACTTGGATCTCCTTAGAGATCAATGTGCTTCTGCATGTTTAGTAAGCACCCTGCATTAAGTTCCAAGGGCTACTGTATTAAATTGCCACCAACCAGAAGGCTTAATGCAGCAGACATGTTTGGTGTCACAGTTCTAGAAGCCAGAAGTTGTCAGCAGGGCCACATTGACTCTGAAAGTCCTAGGGAGGGTCCTTCTGTACCACCTCTAGCTTCTGGTCGCTGCCGGCAATGCTTGGCTATGGTGGCATTGAGCCAGTCTCTGCCTCTGTCCCACATGGTGGCCTTCTGCCTTCTGGGTCGTGTCTTCACATGGCCTTCTCCTAGGAACAGCATTCATTGGTTGTGTTGCCTACCTTCATCCTTGCAAAAAAAAAAACAACAAAAACTATTTCCAAATAACACCATGTTCATGGGTGGGGGGGGGGTCATGACTTGGACATATGTGAGGAACCAAATTCAACCCATAACAGACACATGTGTGCACACACACACCCGCGCACACACACACACACACACACACACTTGTAAGTCCTTCTAAGTTTTGTGAATTTCTAAGTTTTGTATGTTTTCCAGACCTTGGAGCTGAGGCCCAGAGAGGGTGCCACCCTTACTGAAGGATGCACAGCTTGTTAGCTGCAGTACCTGGAGTAGAGTATAGGGTAGCTGAGGCTCCTTCCCTAGCAGGGCCTCCTCCGTGCTTGTGTTATCTTGGGGCCTCTGAGCCTCTCCCCCAACCCATTCTAGACACCTGTCCTAGTCCTGGTCCCTACCATGCGCCAAGGATAGGCGCCTGCAGGGATTTAGGTAAACTGCTCAGTGCCCGGGGTATTATGCCAGGTGTTACCCGCATCTCCTTGAGCTTGCTTAGACCTTTGCAGGGGTTTCTATGCAAACTCAGAAAGCCTGGGCTGTTGGCAGAAACACCAAGGCACTGCGAATGTTAGGGTTAGGGTTAGGGTTAGGGGTTAGGGTTAGGGTTTGGGGATAGGGTTAGGGTTTGGGGTTAGGGT